AGAGCCGGTCATCTTGCTAAAATATTTGACATGTCAGAAACCAGTGCAAAATTGATATAAAACAGAAAACAGTGCAAAGATCACTGTACATTGTCTGACTATATTCTAATGTTTGATGTGGAAAGAAGAATTACACTAGAGACAATCAACACAATCTTAGCCAATCAATGTAATTCTATTAGCCAATCAGTGCTATCTTGCACAGCGTCTCTCCATTGTTTTAGCCCATTCATGAATTGTGTCATTCATTCTTTGATGCAACTCGTTTGCGTGAATGTTCTTGTCGACTAACCCACCAACCATCCCCATCTTACCTCCTCTTCTGGTCATTTTTCACCCCACTATTGCGCAAAGGACTTCATCCTGTCCCTCATTACAAGGACGAATGCCCACTTTCTGGCTTTTCCTTTATATGGCATGGCAATTTATGAAAAGCTTTGCCCAATGCTCACCAGTGGGAGTTTTGAAGGGTGACCCCTTGCCCAATTTTTTAGTGTGTATTTTTTATTGTGTAATCTTTCCATTAGTAGTTATGTTAACGCATGTATTTTATTTCTTTATAGCTGACTAGTTTTAATAAATTGTCTTACTTTTAATCTGGTGTGTAGTGTCTTTACAAAATAGCATTTAAAACTACACACATTGCAAATCAGCTGATTCACTGCAAACCATACTCAATTACAACATGTTTTTTGTATTATATCCATCTACTCACTACTATGGTACTCACATGCAATGTTGACAACAGGATTTCTGGTTGCACACGCTTTATAAAATCTCTGAAAATCAAAAGCCAATTTATCATTTTATACTTACATGACATATTTGTAACAGGGTTTAAAGCAACACAACCTTTATAGCATCCCTTAAATAAAAAGAAAAATAATCAAAGAAATTAAAGTTTCGAAAGACCTCATGTGTGCTAGGGGAATTGGAAGCATGAAGTACAATTAAAGAATACTGTATTTACTATTATATCAGAAGCACATCTTTAATTACACATAAAGTAAAAATTGTATTTATTTCATGCAACATCATTGAATATGTCGTATTTTGCCTTAGTCTGAGATATTACAGTTATGCATATTAACATATGACCATATATTAGTTATGTATATTTAGGTCACATTACCATACATGGTCATTTGATAATAATAATACTTGTTTATTATATCTTTAGAAATATATTTCTTTCAGTATTTAGCAATAGAAATAGTAATCAATACAAATAAAATATAACAAGTTAGTGAGAAGAATATTAAAAAGTAAATAAAATATAAGTTAAAATCAAGTATTTTATGTGCATTGTTTGAATGAAGATGAATTGTCTTTGAGGTTTTGTCATTAAAATAATAATTACAAAAACTATGTCCCTGACAATAAGTCAAATTTAATATATGACAATTTAAAAAGTACAAATATGTCTCGCAATAAATTGCAAAGATCTCGCATTATTAGTGTCTGACAACATTACGTACTCTATAAATAAATGTATGCGTGTCTGTCACTCATATATTCGTGTATATTGGGACGTCCAACTACTGGGTATGCCAAATAGTCGTATTAGCATAGCACTGCATAAAATGTCAAGTAAAATCTGAATCTCTGTACAAAATTTGACCTTGAAATTTGCAATGAATAAAATGACAGAAAAGTAACATTGAAACAGTATTAATTTTAATGATGAAATAATGAGTACCTATTGTGGGAATTTTACATGTTTACATGTTTTTAAATTAGTGGATTTTATTTATCAGGGAAAATGAAAATTCAATCAAAAATTTACTTTTATAGTAAACATCCACATGAACTCACTCATCTTCACCAGCAAACATCAATTCAATCACTGATTGTTTGATCACTATACCTCAACAATGTTTTATTACCATCGCCATAAGCCAAGACAAATCCATTAAGGGCACGATTAACTAGAGGCATGTCCAATCAAATCTATGTATTCCACTGAGCTCAAATACACAAACACTCAGTAGAATCATGGGAAGCACATTCACTTCTTGTTTGCAAAACCAATTCAGGTGATGATACTTACTGGGAATTGACCAATAAGATGTGCTACTAAAAATCCACCGTGTGATCCTCCACATAAAACCAGCCTGTCTTTATCGACTTGTTCTTCCTCTAGAACAGTTTCAACAGCATTCTGTGAATAGACAATTAATAACAAACGTTATATTTGAACAATGATAGCACAGTATATTCCAATTTAGCAATACTGGTTGTGTCAATATGTTTCCTATGTGAATTTATGGAGCATATTTGGCACAAAACCTTTCAGATTCTAAATTTGTAGGTGAAAATTAACCTACTTCTAGACTGGACTGTATCATAAGAAATATGTTTTAGAAGTATTCAAACAATCAACCGTTGATGGAATCTAAATTTACAAATTATGGAGAGACAACTGTATACTGTGATTCCTTCCAAATTCACACCTTATCTGTGTACATATTGTACCTACCTGTACATCATACACGTCTTGGCAGCCAACATTGCTGGGCAGAGAAAATACATTTGCTTGACCAAAACCTAATGACCCACGGTAATTCACTGAAAAATTATACAACAGTTGGCTGACAAATCAAGGTATCAAAGATATCACAAATACAAGTAATATTTCACATATAAGAAATACCAATCTTGGAGTTTCAGAATCCCTGGTTGCTCAACTACCATTTGTGATGAAGAAAATGTTTGTTAAATACTGAAAATAAGTGTACCGGGGTAACTCAAAACTGTCTATTGCTCAAAAGTGCCACAATAACAGCACTGCATGTCACTACATACCTAATAGTACTGCAAAACCAAGTCTGCACAGAGCCACAGGGAATAATAGAAACTCAGCAACTAATGCACTATGTGGTCCACCTAAATTCAACAAAATAACAATTGTATAAATAAAATGTAATGTGTTTTATTTGCAATCATCCTTGACACCAATAGTTCAAGATACCTTTATTTAAGCACCACAGCAATTATACATTTGAAAACAATGTATTGTATTTTGCCAACAGAAGCGCACATGAATCAAAAATATCATATATTGTACGTCTAATGATTGAAATACATCTTACTTTGTCCATAGACTCATCTCTGTCATTAGTGCAAGCACTTTTCATAAAACAATGTGTTTTTTTAAAAGCCATGTGGGAATGAACATCGCAGTGTTAGGATTGATGTTTCAAAGAAATTGAGAAAATAAATACCATAATGCAATGCAATTTCTACATGTATATTCACATGGTTTCAACAACACTATTTATCTAATCTCACACAACTTGCAATGTTTCACATATTATTGATCTGATGTTAATGAGCGATATTTGTTTTTATTCTCTTCTGTTCAAAGAAGCTTAATACAAATGTACGTATACCATTTTTTGGTAAAATAATTATTTTATTACTTTGTACAAAACTGACATAGTTTAATTTATAAATCTGCAGCTATTTCATAATGAGCCTTTGATGAAGTCAATCCCATACATACCATGTGGCCATACAATCATTGGCAATGAACTCTTTGAGTCCAAAAGATTTGCTGGTTTCAAAAGAATAGCTTCATAATCAAGCCCACCTACATGTAATAACAAGAAATGAATGCAATTTACTAGGTATAAATCACTGTACTGACACAAGTAACATTCTTTGCAGAGTTGAAGAATCTAAGAAGTATATATCTATTGCACATATCATATGGTCTTTACCCCTCACCAGTATGTGTATATCTATTGGACATATATGGTCTTTACCCCTTACCAGTATATGTATATGTATTGGACATA